TCGCGCGCGCGCGCGCCCAGCACTCGCTTTCTGCCTCGCGCCCAGCAGTGAATGGAGCAGAGAGAGAGCCGCGCGCACGCAGAGATCACTCGCCCTTGTTATTAACGTTAATAACGTTATCTCTCGCGGCGTCACTCACGTCCCCAACGACGACGACGGCTGCTGCTGCTGCTGCTGCTAGGAGGAGGAGGAGGAGGAGGACGGGACTGCGGTTCAGGTGCACCGCTGTGATTGAAAGACAGGGAAGTTTTTTTTAAACGCTACGGGAAAAAGAAGGAGATGAACCCACGAACGGAAGGATATCGCTCTCATTAGTAGTTAATCTGTTAAACGTAGTTCGCCATTGTGTGCTTTTTTTGTGTGTGTGTACATCGGTGATGGGATTCCTTCAGGAGCGACCTGCCGCCTAACGTTAACCCCTCCGAAAAGGTAAGAAGTGAAGCTAAAACGGTTAACTAACAAAAGATAGTGGGAGTTGGGATGCTGTTTAAAGTGGTTCAGTTAGTTTGTACAAGTCTTTTTTTTTTTGCGGAGGGGGGGAGTTTTTGTGTGGGCGAAAGTTAAGTTACAACACCCGGGTCGGTTAGTTTGGTCGGTAATATGGATGTCAGTTGTAGTCGGCTACAGCGTGTGTCCTCGGAGCAGGCTGCTACTCGCCACTGACACGACCTCCCCACGTTATCACCATCATTACTGGCCCATTATTGTTATCTTAACTGCGGGTTGGCGCAGCTGTGAACCGGCTATCAGTGAACATTGGCAACGCACGCAAACTTGGTGGTAAGTGAGTGCAAACGGGACAGACAACAAGGCTGCCATTGTACCGGATCAGCGGCGGATTAACGGAATTCCTTTTCTCTGCACTGTCTGAATGGCCTCCAGTCTCTCTCTGTGTGTCTCTGCCTGCCTGCCTGCCTCTGTGGGTATATAACATCTTGATTTTTAGCTGCTTCAGCCTCTGGCACTTGTTAGAAACAGCAGTAAAGTAAAAAAAAAAAAAAAAGACCTCACAGCCAGCAGCAACCGAACTAGAGATGTCAAAAGTGAGGGCTCGTTGTGAAACATGTGGATGGGGCAGTGCTGGCCAGTTGTAGTTATTGTTATCAGGGCTTTTTTTGGCTGTAAAGGTGATTAGTAAAACAGTAGGGCTGCAACTAACAGTTGTTTTTGTTATTGATTAATCGTTAAGTCTATAAAAAGTCACAGAATAGTGGGAAATACCTCACAATACCCTAAAGCCCAAGGTGACATTTGAAATTGCTTGTTTTTTTTTGTGGTTTTTTTTTGTTTACAGACTAGCAGTGTAACACCAAAATACATTTAATTTACAATGACGTAACATTGAGAAAAGCAGCAAATCCTCACTGGAGC